TTTAAGATAAAATACTTTATTTAAAAATACTTAATAGCATTAGTTTTATTTAGGAAGCAGAGAAACAATCTGAGCTGGCAGAGGACTAATTGCTCTGCCAGGAACCCTTCCTATGCAGCCAGAAAACAACAAACTCCATTTTACATCATGAAAATCAGTAAATATCATGTCCAAGCTAATTTCTACATAGTATACCTACATCTACCCCGTAATATTGCTCCTTTTGGTGGTTCTAATATACCATTTCAGCATTAAAGATATGTTTGTATCCAGAGACAGGTAGACATGTTTAGCAACAAGAAAATCTAGCATTTATTTTTATTACTGTGTTGCAGTTCTGGATGATCCTTTATGTATTGTGTTTTCTGGTCTAAAAAGAATGCATTTACCAATGTGAATTAATAAAATTTTGCAAAGCACTTGAGTACAGATGAAAATTCAAAAATATCCACATCTCTCTCACCCTACACAAGTCAGTATTGCAATATGACTTGTGCAATTGCCTATTACCTTAGTATCCAAGTTTCTCACTACCTTTAGTGCCTCATCCTCCCACAATAAACAGAATTATTTCTCAGAAAATAAGAAAGAGGAGAATTGAGGAAAAGAGTAAAGAAATCACTCAAGACCATAGGAAGTCTATGCAGAAGAACAGATTTCAAGCTTGCCTTATACACTAGACTACTTTTTTGTTTTGCTTCATTGTAATAAAAAGTGTTCTACTTCCATACCTTACCTTCTTCGCAAAGCTGAACCAACTACTTATGACTACTAATAACGTAGCATTCGTATTTCATATCCAAGGTAACCCGAGGTATTTTAATGACATAGTAAATTTAATACGACAGTCTGGGAACTGCACTGGTAAGTGCTATGCATATGCTTACTGTTCACAATACAATAGGTATAGAGTTAGCTGTTAGAGTCTTTTTCAGAGGGAATCCAGCCTGAAGCCTATCTGATACTTAAGTCTGAAGGACATACTATTTTTTTACTTTAAAACATCATTTCCTGTCTGTATAAACTTAAGCTGAACCAAAAGAGTAACCAAATACCTGTGGTGCTTCAAGTATTATTGAGAAATTAATATTATCTATTGGTTCTGGAGATCCAGGGCTGGTTTTAATGTTGCTGGAATCCACACTGTGCATGTTCTCCTCCTCTTTCCTTTCTCCCTAAGAAAGGCAACCAAAACGATCAGTCAGGAAAACAAACAAAAAAATTCCCACATTTTTCAATAAACTAAAAGGGAGAGGGAGAACCAGCCATTAGAAAAGAGATGGGAAAAAGTTACAGAATTATAAAAAAGGGAAATCATAAATGGAGAAGATGAAGACAACAGCTTTTATTCTTTTAAGATACTAGTACAGATATATATAAAAAATAGAGAGGTGTAGGAAAGACAGACAAATACAAGGATATGAACAATGAAATATCATTTTTTAGAAAAGGAAAGGATATATTTAACAGCCTTCCTACATTCCTATTTCACCACTCCTATACCACTTTGAATTACAAGCACTTTCTATTAGATGGTGCTTTACTTTAATTAATTTTGCCCGGGTGCCCTTGATGAACAATACTGCAGTGTTCTCAAGTAAACTACTGTCTGTTCCAAAGCCCTAATTCTAGAAAAAGGAAATTCTACTTGAATTTACAGTCTTGACTTCAAACAGATTAAGTTTCTTTGATGTCAGTGGAGCTCAAGCAAGCACTTAGCAGTGTCTTAGAGTGAAACGGACTTCAGCACATATTTAACTGATTTGCTGAATTGCTCAAACCATGTTACACCTATGCATAGGGCCAGTGCGCTTAAGTTTGCCCAGACATGTCTTCTGATTCCACGTGGATGTTCTTTCAGAAGGAACTTGAGAACGCTGATTTTCCAGTCAGACCTTTTGGACATCGAGCTGCCCATTCACCAGCTAGCCATCATTTCTGGACATGTCGAGGTGTACGCATAGCAACTTAGTTGCTTTCCACATGCATACATACCTCTATCTTAATCCCGCCCGCCCCAAATATAACAACCCAGTCTATACATGTCATAGAATCAAATAGAAAAAAGTTAAAATCGGTCCTTACCACCAAAGGCTTGCAGATGCCAAGAGAAACTGTACCCGGGGGCACAGATTTCAACACTTCCACTGCCTCTGCTAAAGTGGCGCTGTCCAAATATTTCTCATTTACAAACACCAAGCGGTCACCCGGTAAAAGCTCGCCCCCACGTTCGGCTACTCCGCCTGCCACCAAAGAGCTGATCACAATGGCTGTTCTTGTTGGATCTAAGGGATCCTGGGGGGGGAAAAAAAAAAAAAAATTTCAAAGCCCCCAGAAGATGTTTATTTTGAGTCTGTAAAGACCACTTAAGCACGTTCATCATCTAATGCTACAGAACTGAAGCTTGCTGAGACGTTCAAAAGGACTGTCTACTAATACTGCCAAGGCTTACAGTTTACAAAAAGAAAGGTTTGCAGCAGGAAGATACTCTGTCACTTGCTTAATCCATTAAGAAATTTTAAGATCTGAAAGCTGACTGATACCCTGCCTGCCCTCTTCTTACATACACAGAAACGGCCAGGCCAACCTGCAAATAAAAAAACAACACTGGCACCCTTCCACAAGCCTTCATCCAGCCTGTTAACGTGCTAATGTTACATAAAATAACCATTCTGCATGCCATTCAAGAGCTTCGTAGCAGTAAAATTGATGTTAAAAGAAATCATTGCAAGATTAAAAATTTAAATAAAAATATTATTAAATTAAAATTAAAAATCAAATCCAAAACATTCAAGAAATAGCAGCATACATTTGCTGTATTACTGCAGTGTTCCTGCTTTGTCAAATCTGCATGACAACTTACAAAAGACATTTTCTCCACCCATGAAGCTTCCTTAACAGAGAATACAGGGGACAGCAACAGAAGAGTAACTAAGATCATTACTGAAGACAAGGAACACTGTAGTGGTGTATACAGAGGAATGTGAAGTAGAAAATATTATACACATTGGAAAGGCTGTAAACTGATGCAAAGATATTAACTTCACTTAATTTTTTTTCCAATGTTAGTCTTTGCTTTGTGTTATGTATCATTTCTATCATGCATTCAGCCATTTAAAAACTCATCCTCAATCCAATGAAATGATTGTAAGTTATTATATAGTGGCAGAAAGATACACAAAAGGAATATATGGGTTTTCTTTTTTGTTTCTTTGTTTGTTTTTTTAAGAGTAGAATTAGCCTTTCTCCCCCTTGCTAAGGGCTCATAAAGTTCAGAAATGCTCCTTGTATGCACTGGGTCTTCAAATGCATAATCATGTACTATTTTTCCCTCAGGACTTGCATCTTATTCAGGGCACGGGAGGGATTAAAAAAAAAAAAAAAAAAGGGAAAATTTCAGATCACAAAGACCACCATGAATTCAGCACCTCAGTGTTAATTTGAAAACAGGAATGCTTTTTTAGCTATTTATTTTTATATAACTATACACTGCTTTCCAAGTGAACATGTTTTTTTAAGGTATGTGCAAACATATGAGGCAATGAATGCAGTATCTGTAAAGGGCTGAAATTAGAGAACTGAAATTAGAGTTGAGCAGGAAGAGCCATGCTGAAGCTGAATTCAAGTAAATACATATTACTAATAATTGTCTCCTGTTCTGCTGCTTAATCCTGCCATTTTATAATCTTCCCAAACACTGGGTAACCGCACTGTACAGAAGAGGCTTCCTTGCGAGTATCATGTCTTGATAATCAAGCCCAGCAACCTCCCTCTGCTGCGCAATGGTGTTCTGCCTACTGAACCCGTGCCAATATGCTTGGGCTGTCCGACTGTTTATGCTTAAACCTGCCTCACACAATGCTGAGGGGAAAGGCTTTCATTTGTTTCAAATAGCAAGCTATCCATGTTCTGCATACGCTTTGGCAATTTTTAGAAACAAAACAAACCCAAATGCAGAAAGTCCAGAAGAAGAATCCAAAGAATTCCAAGATGTAAAAGAAGAGGTTTTGCTTTAAGAGTGTTTAATTTTGAAAATGTATTGCTGCTGCCCTTTGTGTAGAGAGTCAGCTTTGCCTGCCCTTGCCGACAAAACCATGTGCCTAACCATCCTGATGACAGCTGACCACAGAACAAACACTCTGTTTGACACAGACTTGTGAGATGTTTTTAATTTTGGGGTTTGCTCCAATGCAAAATAAAAATAACCTTTTGGACTTCTTTGCAAAACCAAGATCATGTTGAGACAGCCATTTTCGAGCAAGTAAGGCACTGTCACATTAGGAAGGCTTTGCTCATAGAACTAAACCAGCAAGTTTTCCTATCACAGGCTCATCTTGCCATGGCAAGCAAGGTTTATGCTGGTTCCCTAAATGGGTGAACGCTCTCTCAGCAAAACTACACCTTTGCTGACACAGCAGCTTTTATAATATGACTTTTGCTGGCTTAGCTATATTGATAAAAAAACGAACAAAACAAAACCCGCACTCATCCTTACTGATGCAGATAAGCTGACAAAAATTTGCGAGTGAATGACTGACCCAGTAATCATGGCGCTGGCTGACAATGTGGGAGAACCAGGTTCAAATCCCTCCTCTGTCTGATCCAAAGCTGCTCTTTTTTGGGTTCCAGATCAGAACCACTTAAGTAGGACATGGGAATCTCACCATTAGCTACTTCTATGCAGATATTCAAGGTCAGTGGCATAACTACCACATTTCTGATGAGAAACAGTCCTGTTTCAACTTAAGTTTTCACTGAAATAAAAACATTTTGGCTTCAATAAATCATCATGTTTTGGTAAGAGATAATTTAGCTGAAAAAGTGTTCCAATCAGCTTTAATACTCATGCTAAAAATGAAGAAAGAGTTCCTACAAACATACGCAGTTCCTATGCAGTAAAGTTTCACGAACAGCATGGTTAGCTTCGCTGCTTCGCAACATGCACGAGCGTAAGCTATGCATTGGAATTGCTTCATGAAGAGCAGCAGCAATCTTCTTAAAAAAGGGGCCCATATTAAAAACTGTTGATCAGGCAAATACAAAAGAGGGGTTATAATTACACTGCTGTTTTCAAGCAGAGGGAGCTATTGTACAGGAAGAGAAGAGCAACATAAACTACACGGCGACAGGGCTAAGCCGGTAACGCGAGCAGTGCTGGAAAACCTGAGTGTTTGTTACCAGTGACTGTGAATCACAATGCGATTGCCACGAGGAATGCAACAAAAGCTGCATGTGAAGACACAGACCTACTGAAATTCAAGGTGTAATCATTAATACATATTCTCTGTAATTTAACATGAGGGTGACTGTAACTGTGGATTGCACCGTGCTTTTCTTATCAAAACAAAAGGAACAATGTTTTTTTGAAACCTTGCCTTACAATTTACACTCGAACCCAAATGCACCCTAAAGAACAACACCTGCTAAAACAAGACAGCAAACGCTGAATTCACATTCACATCTTGTAAACAGTGAGTGCAACTGGACTGCGTGGGTTGTTGCCGTGTTTTTGAAAGAAAGCAGTGCCAGCAGCAGGCTAAAAACCAGATTCTTACCTTCTATACTAACTGCAAAAGGCAACTTCACTCCCACAGTGCCCTGATGCACTTCAGGGCCACCTCCATGTTAACAGACCGGCTAGAGCCATTCGAGGTTACTAAACAGCACTAACTGCTACTGCACACCTACCCTAAGGCTCTTGATTCATTTTACTTGGCTCACATTAAGCCAGATAATAGTGATTTTTAGTCACTAGCAGTCAGGACCAGTCTCTGCTTTAAAGTGAAAGGCTCATTTACTTGGATGGAGTTTACTGGCTGGGAAGAAACTCGCTCCCCAAACCCAGAGCTAAGATGTTGCTGTAACAGTACTCGGCTGGAATACAGAACTGACTCAACTTCAATAGTTCAAGAAATTATCACATGACTTTGCATTACAGCAGAGGGAGTGTGCACAGGACAGCTCCATGCAATTTGGTTATCTTAAAATGGGCATGAACTGGGCTTGGTACATTGAAAGAGGAACTTTTAACTTCAGTTTACTGAAGGATTCCTTTACACAAATGAATCATTTATGAACAATGAAGAAAGGAATCCGACTGCAAAGTAAGGCTATCAGGAGACAAAGCCCCTTAACTCACAAGCACTGGCACAAATTCTTTTTTGAAAAAAAGAATTACGCGTAAAAAAATTTGCCACTTGTATAAACGATGAAAGTTGACCACTGCCATGCACCAGCAGCAGCCTAGGATGCTGGCCTCCAGGTAACCCTTCGAGGAACTAGTATGTTGTAGCTGTTGTCTTTTCCTTTGTGCTCGAGCCAGCCATAGAGTATATGAACTTGTTTAAAATAGTCACAATTTATTCATACTTAGCACACCATATATTTAACTACGTTGAACCATAGGTTTTCCCTTCCCCCCTACTGCTCCTCATCAAAATCCACAAATGTTTCCTGGAGTCCAGGTGTCAAATTTTTCTTCTTATTTTCAGAGCCTCATTTGTTCTGGATTCATTTAGTAGTGCAGAGTCACGCAGGGGCCACTGCAGTTGCTGCCTCTGGGATCCCTGGATTCGGAGCAGTATGAAGTCTCTTAAAAACCTGAGCTCTGCTAAAATGTTAAGAGTCCCAGGAGCACCAAGTTAACAGAGTCCTACGTGCAATGCTGCTGGAGCATGTAACTTTATTGTGGCTTCAAGTGAGGGATTCGAACTTGCCATGGGCACCAAAGATTCACACTCAGTTAGCTATCAGAGGTCCTTAGGAAGCAAATGTGGAAATATAACCAATAGAGCTTACCTCTCTCCATCACACTGGGAAATTAAAATGATAACAACCGACTGCCTCTTCCCCCGTCCTTACCAAAACGTGAGGTTTCTGCAGCAGCCAAGAGAGGGCACTCCAGGCCAGCCCAGCTCCCGCACTACCGGAGGCGTTTCATGCTCTGACAAGTCCATCCCCATCTGTCCAGCCCCCAGCACCAGCAAAGCCCTCGCAGAGGATGAGGAGCAGTCTGTCCTATGCAGTAGACTGTAGCTATAACTCGATTGGATGTAAGCAGCTACCACGTTTTCTGGGGTTTTGTTTGTGTTTCCTTTTTTGAAGGCTCATACGAAAATGTAAGACAAAGCTGCGGGTGACTGACATTTACTGTGCAAAGTCACTTTCACTTAGTTACAGGCTGTATTAGTTTTGGCATCACTTAAGATCTAAATTCAGCTAGCCTGACTTCCTCGAATATTTTAGCTTTCTTCAAGCAACAAACTGCCTGCTGCCACAAAAACACTCCTCTGAAA